TGATCCCAGCAAGCACGGTGAGCGGCGGAGACCAAAATAGTAACCATTTCATAAGGCCTGCTTGGAGCACAACTTTAACTAGCTCTTATATACGACAGTAGTTCTTCCTACTGTTAAATAAACAAGGCACTCCTTTACCTATCCAATAGTCACAACCGTACCTGTGAAATCGAACACGCTTGGCTCAAGACACGCCCAGCCATAATGTCCTAATGCAGGACGGTATGAAGGTTTTTACTGCCACCTATTGAGATAAATAAAATTGGCTAGAGCGTTGCATGTAGCTGATGTCTAACTAATTTTCATGGCTCCAGTGTTTAATTATTATTTTTTGGGCAAATTTGCTACCATGATGTCATCATAATTGTCCAATTAGTCGTATTATTTTACACCAGATTTACAACCCGGCTTCACCCGGGACTTGGATTCTTGTCTTAATACACGGCCTACGCATGCGGGTGACATCACAGATGTGACGTCACCGCTCACTTGCCGTGCAAAATATATCCATTATTGCGCCCCCCCCCCCCCCCCCCAAATACAAAAGTCTAGTTTTATACGTTTTGCATTGTGTACAGTCTGGAAGCTACTCACATGGCAAATTTCAAGTTTGTTGTATGTTGGGAAGTATGCTAAACATTTTGAACAGACACACATATTCACATATTTCCCTTATATATAGATTTTGTATTAATCATATTACAACCTCGTATCTACATTAGCATATCCCTGAATAGCAATACAATACAAGAAATGGAAGTAGTATTTGTTTTTCTAAGTGAGCGAGAACATTTTTTACGATTCTTCGCTACCTATGCCTGATCGTTTCTATCAGAGGTGTAAAGATGTCATCGATTCTTTAACTCATGACACGTGAATCAAATCGCTTTTGTAAGAATCGATGTTTTCCAAATCCTATGTCATATGTAATGAGTGCACGTGACTTCGTCCAGCCACTAGAGGCGCTAAAGTCACAATATTGCACGGATTGTTTCCATATACCCAAATGTTAATGGACACCACAATCCCCACCAATTTCCCTCCTCTCAACTGATTATGATGGCATCATGGTAGCTGCAGTGAAAGCCTAAACAACATCCCCATGCAGTCTGAGGTGCTTAATTTATCACGTCTTAAACTAAACTAAGTCCCATTGAGCTACATATCTCTTTTTTAGAAGCGACCTGGCCACAAATGATAGCTCAACGAAGTAGCTTATTACATGGAAATGTATAGCAGCCAAATACTCTAAACGCACATTTCTAAATGTGGAGGGGAAAACCATAGGACGCGGAGAAAAATCGACACGACCACCGGGAGAGAGACACACAAACTCCAAATATGCAGGCGTCAGTGTTAGGATCGAACCCACGACCTCCTGTATATCAGACGAGGCAGTTAACATCCCACCAAAGTGTCTCTGTGTACTTTGCAAGACTATGCACCAAACAATCCTCTTCCCCATGATCTCATAATACGGGCGATTTTAGGTATTGTCATCTTCAGATGCTTTGTAAATTCAAACTTTATTATCAACCAATGTTGTGTTGCATTGTATTTAAGACCATAACAAGCCCCAGATCGGGCCAATAAGTTGCTTCATTACTGTCCAGATGAAAAAAACAACCCGCTGCTTTTCATTGTTTCTTTCTTGTTCATTGTGTGCGTCTACGTGCGCACGCAAACAAGCTGTATTGAGCCTGCGGGCAAAGCATTGGGTGTCTGTGGTGAAACAGGAATGGCAAATAAATAAATAACCACACTTTCATCCCCACCTCCACCCCACCCTCTCTTTGGGAAGGTGGCATTTTCACTCCTAAGCCAGAAGGCAAAAACAAATGTAAAATGGCCCAGGATGTGGCCAGTCAACAAACACATAAAACTTAGCCTTCCAGTCTACACACACGTGGCACGGGACCCCATTATTACTGCCACCTGTCTTGCACAAAGATGTTTGAACTACTCGCCAGCGTCTAAAGCGTCCCTTTGGCTTCGTGCTAGTGCCACGAAAGGTTTTTTTTACTCTTAGCCTCAGTTTGCGTTGCCACTATCGTGCAGGATTTCACAATTTACTGAGCACCGATTAGGTTACCCACACTGATTAAGTTACTCAGCTACGCTGCGTGCGCGCGTGCGTGTGTGCCGAGAGCTAATTCTCACATACAGTAAAGAAAAGCAACACATTCTTCAATAACACTGTGGCCTTAAAAAGCACAAATATTTCAAATATGGGACGTTTCTGGCAACAGCCCTTCCTCGCGAGTATTTAAGTTAGTTGTGCTTGTGCACCACTGCTGACGCAGCTTAAAAAAAATCAAACAACTTACGGTCCATTGCAGATATAGTGAAGAATCAAGTCAGCCTTTTTTCTGTGCCAACTTCTCTACACGATTACGAACGCGGTTTGCTCACTTTTGCATTTCCCCGCGCGCACACAAGTCTGGGCCACAAATATACAGAACTGTGTCTGGGAGAGAGATGATGACAAGGCAGGGCAAAACGTGCGAGTTTCAACCGGCACGGAACCTGTCCGTGGGACTTGTGCCGTGCCGTGGTGTCTGATTTTTTACAACGGCTTGTCACCCGTAACCCGTTATTTATTTTATTGAGGCCGATAGGTGGGCGGGCACTCGCAGGTCTGTTTGTCCATGCAGTCGGGCTTTTTCAGAGGAGAGGGGAGCGTCAGGGACGAGTGTTTTTAATTGCCCGTCTGTGCCAACGGCCAATCCCGTGCCGGGGTCAAGCGTTGCTTTTGCGGCGGCGTTAATCTCAGCCGGGCCATCGGCAAAATTCCAAAAGTACAAAGATGGCTGAACCCGCCAGGGAGGGGTGCGGAGTGTGTCCTCGCGTTATTTTGGCTACGCCAGGTTGATTAGCAGTCGGAGCAGACGGCCCGAGAGTGAGCGTCAAGAGCTGACAAAAGAAGAGCGGTGATGTCCGTCGACATTCCGGCATTATGCAACCGGTTGGCTCGTTGGTAAATCAATTAGAGTTTTTATCACTCTTCTGGCTGGGTTGTTTTTTTTGTTTGTTTGTTGTTTTGTTATTTTCTTTGTATAAAGGGAGGCAGACAAAAAAAATTTTTTTTTACAGGGCACTGTATCCGCGAGCGAATTTACAACTAAGGACAGAATCGTGGAGGACGTGTGGCAACGCCGGGGCGAGTGGCAGCTGCCGCTCACGAAGTAAAACCTGCGCAAGAGATGGGCAATGCGTGCGGCTGCGTGCGGGAGGGTGCCGGCGTGGGGGAACGGCGCGCCACCGGGGTGCCTTTGGTCCCTTCAGGACCTCACCGTAAGGGGGCCGTGTGCCTCCTCCACTGGCCTGCCTCCCCAGACCTCAGCCTGTGCTCTCCAGGATTCTGCTCTTCGCCCAAGCTTGAGCTGCGCAGACTGAGGATGAAGACTCGCAGGGGGGGCAATCTGTCAGCCGGGCTCAGAAGGGGTTCTCCAGATGGAGGGCCATCATTTGAAGCGCTGCCTTCGCTCGGCAGCTCGCAGTGCATGTCGGGAAGGATGCTGGCGGCGACAGAAGCCGTGGCGTGCCGTCGGAGCAGCACGGGCGGTTCCTCCTCCACCCTCCCACCATCCTCCCTGGCGTGCTCCTCCATCTCCTCCCTACTCCACTGGGGGGAGGGTGACGTGGAATCGATGGCAGACTCGGCGAAGGAGGAAGGACAACCGTGGGGACACAAGGCGCACGGCCTGAGTTCGAGTCCACCCGCTGCCCAGCAGAGCAAGGCTAAGGTCAAGAAGAAGAGGAAAAAGAAGAGCTCTCTAGAGCAGGGACATGCGGCGGATGCTCCTGATGGAACCGCGGCTCGTAATCCTACGTGGCCGATGCCACGCGCGCGGGACCTGACCGCGTACAGCTCGGACGACGTGGCCTCTTTTCTGTCCGAGTGCATCGAGTTCGCGAACGCAAGCGAGAGGCGCGCTCTACCCAAGTTTCCCGCGCTGGACGAGCAACTCCACTGGTGTCATTTTTCACCGAGAGCACAAGCGGCCCCCTCGGAGATATCCCGCAGGTCGACGGGAGACCTTGGGAGCCTCGCGTTTGGCGACGCAGGAAGCGAGAGCGACAAAGATATTAAAACGACTCGATTCGCGGCAGCCGCAATGTCGTCCCTTGCGGAGCTCAGTCGAGGGAACAGTACTCACTGCTCACAGAGAGACAGATCGTTCTGCAGACAGGTGTGCTCATTCACACACCTGTACCGTTAGGTGGCAGCAGCGTTATGCCTGTTGCGTCTACGTAGTAATGTTGAACTTATTTCGCAATGTACGTAGCCAACCGTGCTAATTGGAGGTGCGGGGCAAGAACAACAAACTAAGCACAAAAAGCAGTTCTTAAGAAATTCGTTTTCAATCTAGATTTAAAAGTGCATAGCTCCAGTGGTTTCCTAATATCGGAAGGAAGAGCGTTTGAAAGCGCGCAATGTGGTGACCGTCTTTGTTGCGAGGATGACCGGAGTTTGCGTGATGGTTTGTGCTCCTCGTGTGCAATGAGTGCGACCTTGCGTGGTATTGTCGAGTGCCTTCCGGACCACCGCGGCCCGGCTTGGCACGTCGCACCGGCCTGTAGGTCAGAGGTCGTCGACGTTGCGCCTTCATCCAGACACGATGACCACTGGACCTCGGCGGTAGCCGTGTCTGTATGGAAAGAAGCGTGAAAGATACAGTTTGAGAACCGTTTCGTAAAATTTTTATCTCGGATTATAATTTTTCTCCCAAAATTACCGCTTCAAACCGAATGTCTCTTTTTGTTGAATCTCACATCTTAGACCATTTGAGTCAACCAGAACATCTCCAAAACGATCAGCAATTTAAAAAAAAAGTAGCATCAATGATTCCGCGAATTAGAATCCAGCCTAAAATGTAACCAAACGTTTTCGTTAGAAAATAAACTACGCGTGTATACGCGCACGTGACACCATTCACCGTCCGTCACGAAATGACATTCTAACGGCGGGCGTCTGCGTCGCGTTCGCCCGCTCGCAGATCGCGGACATCCAGGTGTCGGGCCAGTCCGAGGACATGACCGCCAAGGACCGGCTGCTGTTGTGGTCACAGCGCATGGTGGAGGGCTACCCGGGCATCCGCTGCAACAACTTCACGACGTCGTGGCGCGACGGACGACTCTTCAACGCCATCATCCACCGCCACCGGTGAGACTGCAGTTCCAGCAGGGGGTGGGGGCGGAGGCGCTCGTGGTGGTAAGAGGGGGAGGGCATTGAGAGGTAAAGGTGCAGCCCAGCAATTCCTTGCTCGCGTCACTGCTGGCGGAAGGTGTTCCCACGTACTGGGTAGAGAGCCCCTTGGGAGGGTGTTTTTTTGGCCTCATCTTCCACGCTGGTTTAGACGTCTTGGCAGAGGTGAGAGTGCCCACACTTTGCCCCACCATGTGTGATCTGCCGAACGACCAGGGAACGGTTCAGAAAATCGTCACTCGTATTTCCCATGAGCGGGAATCGAACTTGGGTGGCCACTTGTCGTAGCTAACCGCCGCGATGCTGCTCCCTGCTATGCGGCAGTACGTACGTACGCAGTAACGTCGTATGATTGGGTGCTTGGAGTTGGTGTGATAGATTTTTTTCACAATCGATTTCTTTAAGCGTTTTGTTAGTTTGAATGTGACATTTACCTTCATATATCATAAGTGTGCTGAACATGCCCATGCAGTAGTTATTTAATTCCCGCATGCTTTAACACGTTTTCAGACGGATGATTTTCTATCCATGTTACCACCCCACCCACCCAAAAAAACCACACTTGCCTTCCTTGAGCATTACTGTGTTCTGGCTTGGGGGAACATGATCCACACTTGTGGTCGTAGATCAATTTAAACCATTTCAACTACTGGCAAAATACATGTCGGAGCGTTATGAATCACACCAAACGGAATGTAAAGAAAGGGCTTTGCAAATATCAGTCTCCTTAGTCAACCCCCCAAACAGTTATTGTAATGGTTTTAAAGTCTCATACCAGTTTCCACCCTCTGACTCTGTTATAACCAAAATCGTTTTGTATACATTACAGATTTAATATGTATAACAACGCTTCCTGTACGCTCACCACTCAGAATATGTTTCATGAACCCGCACTGACTCACATGGTGAAGTACGGTCAAACAATCCCCCACGACTGAAAGGCATCGTGGAGCCTTCATCCAGCAGTGGATTTATTAAGGGCTGTAAATGTTTGCCTACATTTGTGTCATTATTGTGATCAGCCATGATCAATCCACTGCTGGATGAAAGCATTCGCCAAGCCCGAAGCCATTGACCACATTCAAACTATCAATCAAATAAATACCAAATGCCTTCATACCATAGCCTTTGTAGATCATTAACACCATATGAAGCAATGTCACACAATACAATAATCTGAGCGTTCATAAACCGGTGCCTAAGTAAAATGTTTTTTTACAAATATATAATTAAGCACACCGATATTCAATGATTTAAATACTAAACCACCTGTTGGAAATAGTCAGATGAGATGCCACGCTTTCAACAAAATATTCATCAGTGGCAGTAGATCATGTTGGATTGGTGAAAACAAAGGCATCAATTATAAATTTGGAAAATATTAGCTTTGTTAAATTTATTGTTGGTGGTTTAACGACCACTGGCAGTTAACTACGGAATAAATGGGACAATACATTCATGAAGAAGAATGCAAATTGGGGAACCAAGATTAATACGAGCAAGACACAAGTCACACACAGCAAGTTTGCTCAAAGAGCTCTTTGTATGTACGTATGTAAAATTTATTTCGCAATGTATGTAGCCATTCCGTGTTAATCGGAGGTGCGGGGAAGGACAACAAACTAAACACAAAAAAGATCAATGGGCTTGTACCGAAACAAACGACGTATACCTATTGGATAGACACTTACTGGGAAACACAGACGTGTCACTCAAGGGAGACTTGGGATCAAAATGATTAAATGAAGAGACGGAGTAGAGCATGTTAGAGTGCGTTTGGAAATCAACTTGATAATGAATAACAGCATACCATTATGCTAAAAAGAACTTTCTTAATCGCTTCATATCACCCGCTCTGACGTACGGAGCGGAAACGTGGACATTCAGGAATACATTTAGGATAAAAGCTGAAAAATTTGCAGAGAAACTTTGTAGATCTTGGCTGATGATAAAAAATAATATTGACACAGAAGATGTTGACACTGCTACCGACGATTGGAAGCTGGCCGCGTTTCCCTTAAAAAAAGAGCTGAAAAGCTCAGTGAGCGTCACTCTGGAAAACAACTTTTGAATTCCCGATTTAAGATTGCAGTACGTGGAACCTGCACAGGTATGTGATGTAGTCTACTTGTAATATAGGTGTGGTTAACAGACCCATGTAGTCATTCAACTCACACAAGTCTTAGCACGTTTCCAACGGGACAGGTAACCCGCGAAGGTGTATCGTGCATACACCCCTGCGTATATAAAATATTATTTCAGCGAATTTAAATGTTGCTTGAGTTCAGGTCATGTTCAGTCGCTATTACATACTCTCTCTATATCTCTGTGCCTCTAAAACATTACGTAAGTTAATTATACTGTTACTTGAGATAAGGCCAATTACAGCTTAGATGTTAATAGTAAGTGATGTCTACTCGTGCCAAGTATTTTTCCGCTTGCGAGCACTGCCCTAGGATTTTATAAAAGACAAAGATCCCCCGTATAGCCTTAACAGACTGTTGGGGCAAGTGCTGTTAGCGAGCACCTATGAAGGCCAGCACGGCACATGCGGAGAGGGGGGGTGTCCAACAAGACACCTGACTGCCTTTGTCTTTCTAGTGGCGATCACTTTACACACCATACCAGGTACTCATTTGAGGCTGAGTCGACCTATGAGAGGCCCGGAACAAGTTAAAATATTCGTCACTGGTGTTGGCCATGAGCAGGAATCGAACTCGGATCGGCGGGTTCGTAGGGCAGCACGCTAACCGCTATACTACCGCTTTCCATAGGGGATTGTATATCTATCCACACACATGTAAAAACATTCGCGGCTGAAGTGCACGCGTGCAAGTGCCTGTCTCGGGGCATACTTTTGAATTTCTGTGGACAAAATAGTTGGCAGCGCTAGGCTGGCACGAGTTCCCAGTGCAAGTGAAGGGGTGGGGGATGGATTTGAATTTGGTGCACATCTGCGGAAAGGATCGCAGTGTTCCCGCTCAGTGCAACACTCACACCGTTATGTCCTCCGTGTTGCTAAGTAGAACGGAGTTTTCTTTTTTCTTTTTTTTCCAGTGACGCTTTCGTTGCTTATAAAACGTTCGCGAGCTGCGGCCGTGCGCACCTTCAGCGGAACCAGCGTCGGGATGTTTGCGACCCGCGGCGCTTTTAAAGTGAAACCTTAGTTTTCCTTTTGAGACGTGTTTGTCGACCACCTCGAACAGTTTTTAGTTTTTGTTGGTTTCTTCGCGATAGTTTGATTTATTTCTCAGCAATTCATTCTCATTTCGAATATTTAATATTCAGAGAATAATGAAACGACATGCAGGGAGGCTTAGGCGGGGGGAGAGAGAGACGACGGATATATACATGGAGTGCTACAACTACGCAAGCTTGCCCCGTACGAACAGTGCCGCGCAGTCTAGGGTGGCCGCGGGATTGACACCTGGAATGAGTTCAAGCAGGTGAGGTTTCGCTTGTGAATTCGTTCTTGCACTCTTTAACCACAATTACGAAAGCTCTAATCGTGGGTTAAACAGTACAAATGTCTCTTTAAAAGTCAGCACGTTCACTGTTTGTGCTTGATTACCTATGCGCAGTTATCGAGAACTCAAATTCATAATAATTGTTTTTTTACCCTTTTATCTGGAAACAAATCTGACGACCTGCGGTCGAAATGCAAACAAAAAAGACAACTCTGATAATGTATGCTCTGTTCTGGAAATTGTAAAAAAAGGTGTCAGTTTTGTTGCCAGATAAAAGGGTTAAAAAAACAATATCATATTTTGCTACTGGCAAAGGAGGTTCCAATGGTGAACTCAAATTCACTTCGCGTTATGCTTGGGAACGGGTGGACAATACAATGTCAAACTCAACGTATCTGAGTCACTGTATCGTGCCTTTTTCAACAACAAAAAAAATCAAAAAAATCACGAACGAAAATGCCGACCACATGTGAAATGTGTTGCTGATCACATATCAAACCCACGTGTCAAATGGGTGCAGTGAGCAACGCGTGCATCTAACCAGGTGAACGTGGAACGATGAACCATCTGTCGGCCGTGAAGGTGAATGGTTCTCGAAGCGAATTATTGGTTCCATCTTGTGTGACATCCAGCGTTGGGGACTGAAGGCAAGCCGATTGATTGTATTTGTTCTACGCGGGCAAGAAACATCGAGCCTCGAGCTCTTTCATGAGAATGACGAGCGCTGGGCAGTGCCGCGTCAGCTATAGCTGTGTGACGAGGTGTGTACGTACGTATGTTGAACTTCTTTCGCACCGTACGTTGCCAAGCCGTGCTAATCGGAGGTGCGGCGGCGGGGGGTGTGGGGGGAAAGGACAACAAACGCTAACCGCAAAAAAAGGTTGACACATTTTCTGCCGTTGTCGTAACTCCAGACCGGAACTGATTGACATGAAGCGAGTGGCCGTTCAGGCCAACCGAGAAAACCTGGAGCAGGCCTTCACGGTGGCGGAGCACGACATGGGTGTCACGCGGCTGCTGGATCCCGAAGGTGAGAGGAATACGAGGGAGGTTGTGCGACATCGCACGGCGGCTCGGAGATTCGCACGTTAAGAGTGGAATGCAGGGCAACGCGAGGCGGATCTGAGGCGAGGTCAGCGTTGGTTTTATTACCGACGCTAACCCGAGCCGGTGGCACCGTAATGATGATCGAATTGTAAGCACATTTACTTTGAGAAAACGAAACTAAACTAACTAATCTTCTTCTTGGTTCTTTCGGTAAAGTCACGTAGAAGGGAAATAATAAAAATAAAACATTATGGCTTATTATTATTATTTTATTATTTCTTATTTTCCTTCTACGTGACTTTACCGAAAGAACCAAGAAGATGAATCCCTGCAGTCACGAAGCATTAAATCGAAAAATAAACTAACTAAACTATGGAACAAAACTAACCTTTTTAATTTTAGCAGGTAAGGCCCACTGAACTATATAGCTCTTTTTTTTATTAGAAGCAACCTTGCAATGACAAGTGATAGCTCAACGAAGTGGCTTATCACGTGGAAATTTATAGTGGCCAAATAGTCTAAACGCACGTTGATTCTAATTGTGGAGGGAAAAACCGGAGGGACGCAGGGAAAAATCGACGCAATCATGGGAAGAACATGCACACTCGAAAATATACAGGTGTCAGACTACATTTCAACGCAAACCCATCTTTGAAATGCCGACTGCCTATTTATCGTAGCGGCGACACCTACAAGCACTGAACGTGTGGCTAATCACGGTGTGATCTCGTAGATTTACACAGCTAGATTGCACATCTTGACGAAGCAGTCAAAACACATCATTCATCGCCCTGGCAATTTGCCCAGTCGTCCGTTAGAGTTGAACGGGTGTGTTTTTGGCCAAACGTTAAAGATGGAGGAACATTTGCCAACAAAGATGAATCATCCCACTAGACCAGTGGTTCTTAACCTTTGCTGCAGCCTTGCACCTCTTTGGTTCTCAATCGTAAAAGCATTTATAACGTTAATGAATACGTAGGTTTTATGAAACAAAGTAGTTGCACTTACGTGCCCGTGCTTCATTTGTTTTTCAATGATTTACCTCCTAAAAAAATCTGGCCTCGTCTCGCACCGCCAGAAAGGGCATCTCGCACCGCCAGGGTGGTGCGTACACCCCAGGTTAAGAACCGCTGCCCGAGACTGATTTGACTGAGCGAAACCAATATATGCTGTCCCCACGTCCTGTGCCCCAGATGTGGACGTGCCATCCCCGGATGAGAAATCCATCATCACCTACGTGTCGTCCCTCTACGACGTCATCCCCAGGATGCCGGAGGTCAACTCTGGGCTGAATGCAAATGTAACAATGCGCACGTTTGTCTTCGCATCTCATTTACGTTCTCCACAAAAGGGGTGGCCGGGTGGCTGGCAAAGTGCTGAGCTCGCACCGATGAGACCCTCGATTAAAATCAACGCAGCCACCTGTGTATGGTCACAACATTCTCACGAAATAACAAATTACACGGACCGAAAAGAAATAAAAAAACGCTTTGGTCGACAAAATTCCAACTCTGATAATAATTGGACATTTCAGTTCGATTGCAATGCACTGAACGTCTCTGTAGCAGGGTGCGGGAAAAAGAGATTTCTGTTATCGTGCTAACCTCGAAATTAGCACGGTCGGCTACGTATGGCGTGAAAGAAGCTCAGCATACATACACACACACAGAACTCCTTCTATTGGCGGCCGCTCCACCAGCGGTGGCATCGGCAATACATTGCAGGACTCCGCCTTTTGTCACCTTTACTCTGCCTCGCCTTCTACACAGGACTGTGATGTCAACAAACACGTTCTTTGTTTTTCCTCTGCGTGGCCACAAGGAGGTGGAGTTGCGCTGGACAGAGTACCAGGAAATCGTGGTGATCATCATGCAGTGGATCCGCCAGTACATCATCATGTTCCAGACTCGGGCCAACTCTGCCAACCCCACAGACCTCAGGGTACGGATGCTTGGGTCTTTACCGACGCAGAGAGCCGTCAATGCTGCTTCGAGGTCGACGTTAATGATCCCCTGACATCAGCTGGGGTTTGGATCGCAGTCATCGCCCCCTACTGGCTGACTAATGACCCGGGTCACTCTCGCAAATGAGACTCAACCTGGTGTCTTGAGTTCTCATTTGGGTTGAGCAAAATGTACTTCAGTTTAACTTAACACGCGAGCTTTCGCGATCAATGTTATTTATGATAACATTTTCAAAGGTTATGCTGCGTAGATGTAACTGTGTCGTACACCCACCTCCACCCGACACAGTACTCAATTGTTATCATGAGTAACTTGAACTAGAAACTTGATAATAAGAATGGTAATAAATGGAAAGCTATACCCTAGAGGGTGGTAGAAACATCATAGTATGGGAATGGAATACATCAATATATCGATTAACGTGTATTCTTACATTCATTATACATGCATTGAATCGTGAGAATATATTTCTTTTGATTCATTTGTTTTATGTGATCGAGTCGTGTAAAGCAAATCATGCAGGCGCTAGATTATCCGGGCATCACAACAGCAAGCAAATAATTCATTATGTGCTAGATGCCTAAACACATTAAAAAAATCTGTGTTTTTGGGTAAAATGTATAGCGCCGGAGTAAAGTGTGACTTTGCCACGTACAGTAGGTTTTTACAGCCAATCGTAATCCAAGTTTGATAGTTCAGTGTTAAGCTTTTGCCACGCACTAATGTGGGTCTCTTCAACAGTAGTGTGTGGCGAAAGCTGGCACTGACCATATGCTCAAATTGTAGCTTAAACCAGGGAGACTACATCCAGGAATATTTGCGAATCGACGTCTGTGCGGTATACTGCACACACTTAAATACTGAATGCGTAGCTGTGGTGCAGCTGATTAATAAAATAACAATAGCAGAACTCATGCCGCTCGAGTCAGCGATCTCCGCTGCCCGCTCATTGTCTTAAGATCCGGATTGCCATCGTGGGCGCAGAGCCGCTGACGCCGGTATCCCACCGAACGTGCCGCCCGAACACTGTCCCGCACCGCCTCTTCCCATTCGGTCGCGGGACTCCTGGAGCCCGCTCCCGGCGACCGCCACGGCGGCCGGGCCTGCCGTGTCCCGCACCTGTGCCCCTCAAATCACGTGCCGCGCTCTCTCGCCGTTCTCGCATCGCGCTCTGCCAGGCCCAGTACAGCCAGCTGGTGCACTTCCGCGAGGTCGAGCTGCCGGCCAAGGAGGCGGAGCGTCTGCGCATGAAGAGCCTCTTCATGATGATGGAGGTAACGACGATGCCCGGCACCCACTGCCCTTCTTGCAGCGCCGTCACGTGGTCCCTGTGCATGTGCAAATGGGACGGTGGGGAGGGAGTAGCCACACAACGACTCAGGCGAGTGACGACGGAGTGAATCATCATACAGGTTTTTTTGGGTTAGATTGCCTAACACGCAAAAACTTGTATTATGGATGATATTGATCGTGAAAGCCTACATGTTAAACTGACCGTGGCAATCTCAGACAAACTTTACACGAGTGTTAGACTCTGAACGAAACGAGTAAGGACACGATCTGCTTCTAAATATCGTGCATTCAGCTCGCTGCTGCGTGCGTTGTGGCGTGGATACCGTGCAGGAGAAAATATAGTGCACGGTAAAAAGGGCACCCCCTAATCCAAGAATCTCTGGTCGCCGTGGTGGTGGGATGTTAACTACCTCGCCTCGTATACAGGAGGTTGTGGGTTCGATCCCGATCCCGACGCTGACGCCTGTATATTTGGAGTTTTCATGTTCTCCCCGTGGTGTTCTCCGTTTTTCCCCTCCACGTTAAGAAACATGCGTTTAGAGTATTTGGCTGCTCTACATTTCCACGCGATAAGCCACTTTGTTGAGCTATCATTTGTGGCCAGGTTGCTTCTGAAAAAGTGCCACGTAGCTTCGTGGGCCTTACCTCATGAAGTAGAAATAGTTAGTCAGTCCTCTGCACAAGCCTTGCCCCTTACCTGTGGAACCTTTGTACTTGACAAGCATTCCGTCTCTTGCCCGTGGATCCCAAATTTTACCACTAGGTACCCACCATGTAGCTGGCCTAATTCAAGGATGGAGTGTCACGGTGCTTCCATCTTCCTAATCAAAATCCAATTACTTCCACGAGGACCACATTTTGCCCACTTGCTGCTTGTAATCTTACGTCTATTGCTTCGTATATGTTATGAAAATACAAAAAAGCAAGATCAAGGAAAGTATTCTTAGGTTTTTTCGGTAAAGTCACGTAGGTAAAAACATAATAAAAGTAAAATAAAATAAAAATCACGACGTTTCGGAGGCAACACAAGCTTCCGTCTTCAGGTGGTACCGTCACAAGTAATTACGACAGCTGTATCAAGTAATTACTGGATACAGCTGTCGTGGCTGTGACGGTACCACCTGAAGACGGAAGCTTGTGTTGCCTCCGAAACGTCGTGATTTTTATTTTATTTTACTTTTTTATGTTTTTACCTACGTGACTTTACCGAAAAAACCTAAGAATATGAATCATTGCAGTCACGAAAGCTTCAAATCTAGAATCAAGGAAAGTTGATATGAAAATATGACCGAAACCACTGCGTGATTTTGCATGCAAAGAACTGGCGATATAGTCCCTACATTGTTCATGTCTGTAAATTTGTTTTAATTTAGCCGTGCTTAATCTAACGTCCCAACCGTTCACAGGGACTATAAAGTCTCGATAGGACATGTTACTAAATTTCGATTTAAAGCTTCCGTGACTGCATGGATTCATATTCTTGCTTCTTTCGGTAAAGTCACGTAGATATTACTAATTCGACACGGCCATTGCTAGGTGGCTATGAAATTGAAGCAATCAGCATATTCCGAATAAGAATACATAAAAAAAAAATTTTCGTTTTCATTTTGAATATATAATTCATTCTTATATAATGTCATTAGAATAAAAATGCCCCAATAATAATAAGGAATTAATGCTAAGTCAAAATAAGTCTGACTGACAGTGTTTTACCGTTTAACACCATCTTTAAGCCTTGAACCCCCACCTTCCACCATTAACACGGACAACCTAACCCTGGCTCACAGAACTTGATCCAGTCTGGCCACATCAAGATGCCTGTTGGCTACCACCCCAGCGACATGGACAAGGAGTGGAACAAGATGCTCCTCACGATGTCCGAGCGGGAGAGGGAAATGAAGGTTGAGATCGACAGGTGAGCGTCAATTTTATTCTTCCTCCAAACGGAGTCCGTTTTTATCAACAAAAAGAAGCAGCATTAATGTTTATCACAGGGGCCTTTAAACCTTAAGCACTTGGGGCAGCAGATGTTCTGACGCAACTCCGATTAGCACGGTTGGCTGCGTACGGTGCGAAAAATGTTCAACGTCTATACACTAAACTCCCTGCCCAGCAGAGGGTTAGAAGACTACTTAACTGATAACAAAAACATCTTCAATATTTTTTTCCCTGCAGAAGAAACATGACTCTTACAGTGATTGGCAAATCCCTGAAAGAGTCATGTTTCCCTGTACGAGTCCTATTTCTTCCTCCAAAAACGGAATGCGTTTTTTAGCGCGCCTTTTATCAGCCTAAACAAAAACGAGCAGGGGAGGGGGATTTAAACCTTAAGCACTTGGGGGCTGCAGATGTTCTGCCACTGCTCAGCAGAGGGCTGGAAAATTACTGTGCTGATTTAAAAAACATCTTAAATATTTTTTTCGGGCTTAAGAAAACGTAACTCTTGTAGGGATTGGAAGAGGTCTGTATTTGCCAATTCAAATTCTGAGGCTGAGATCAAATGTTTCTCCATGCTTTTGTTGGCTAACATCACGGTATATTCTGCTCCATTTGATAAGTCCTGACTCGCCGTGAGCCTTGACATCGCATTTGAGAACTTGACTTTCTTTGCACGGTGTTCTGATCTTGCGTTGGCACACATTTCATTTGCCTCGGTGCTCTGTTTGAAGTTTCTCTTTCTATTTATGAAGAGTCCCTCTTGAGACAGGGCACCTTCATACATTGTTTGACGCCTTTGGCTTGGTTTGTATGTGGGCAGATTCCAGCTTTAACTTTTAGTGTTCTCGGTGACAAAGGTACCGCGGTTAAATAAACCCTTGAGACCTCTTGTGGCACATGCATAATGCTGTGCCCTTTTACACATCACATGAGATTGGTGAGAACGAAACCGTTTCTCACCAACGTGTGACATTTAGTATCACTGACACCGCAACTTGCCATGACGAAGATTACATTACATCGAGGGCCTTTTACATAATGGTGTTTATTCGGAAGAATACAAGCTGTACTCTCGTTTTTTTGCTTCTTGTGCAACTACAAACCAATGTGTCCTGAGCCGTCAGTCTGAATGCAATTTGTGATGATGTCAGAGCTGGATATGAGAACACCTTACATAAATACACATGTGTACACTACACCGGTGGGTGAAAGGCCGAGGTAAAACCCTGAAACAAGCAAACCTCAGGAGTCTGTGCTTATATCCAGCCTCTAATTGGAAATAAGAAACGGCAATAAATGCTGCATGTTTTGATTACCATTTACTTTTGAGAGTCCTCTTTGCAGTTGTGACCTTATATGGCTTCTGCTTGCTACGAAGATCACATGGTTGGAAGCCAAGCAGTTGAGAACCAGTTGCCAAACCTAACACATTCACACTCTCAAGATGGAATTTGATATGGCACTCCATCCGATGTCGAGGCAAGTTTCTAAGCCGAACCATCCGTCAATCGAAAAGATATCAGCGTGACTTTGTATTCGCTCTGGAATTGAGCGTGCCTGCAGCCATACATGCGCTGAAGGAAATTCAAATGAATAATCATTTCATCCAATCACACGCCGCCCTGATGCCCACAGGGCGAATTCTTTGCGTGGCTGCAGATAGCGTCTCTTCTGAGCCCCAAGCATGCTTTCGCCCAGGAGAATTGAGTGGGACGCGACAGACGAGATCTGGCCTTCAGAGGAGAGGCAGCTTCGTCCCAAGGCTCCGAAAGCCAAAACGCGAGACACCGCTCCATTTTGTCGTGATTTTTATTTTTTACATCTTAGTCGTTTGCGTCTTGTCGTCGTCGTTTGGATTATTATTGTTATTATATAACATTCGATTTTTCATCGGTACTATTTTATCACCCAAGAAGATGAAGAAATGCCTATGCGTGAGAGGCATTAGGTGAAACATTCAAGCGGTCACGCTTATTGGCTGGGGTTTTTATTTTTATTACTTCTCTCCTTCTTCAAAGTCGCCTCTCGGCCTACTCTTGCCCAGCAGCATGATGAACCACCAGGCGGTTTTTCAGAATTCGGCGCCGCTATGTCCCCGTGGACACATCAGGGTGATGCACCAGCCCAGTTCCGACGCCTTTCAGGCTGCCTATGACGCGGATCGACAGCGCCAGTTTTCCTCCGGCTCCCTCAGCAACTTCGGCATTGCCACGATGCGGACCCCGAGCTACAGCTCCGGCTCAGCGGCCTTTGCCGGCGGCAGGAGTGCAGGTGGCGGAGCGGCTGTTGATGGCTTCAGTGCAGGTTGTGGTGGCGGTTTCGGTGGCGGTGGCGGCAGCAGTGTTGCTGGAGGAGGAGGTGTTGGTAGCTCAGCAGTCTTCTTCCCTAGCGGTGGCACTAGCGTCGCCACGGAGGGTGGCTCCTTTGACACGCACGAGCGAATGGTGAGCCCGGACCAGCGGGCAGCCTCACCGTCATTCTTCACGGCGGAGGCCGGATCCAGGGCTGTCCCTGGTGCGCATCATGCGATGGCAGTGCGCAGGGCCGGAGCAGCGTCGCTCCAGAGCGTCAATGACAATGATCTCTATCCAGGCCAAGCCTACCTTGGCATGGCTTCACCGATGCCAGATTGTGCTTCCCTGAGTAGCACAGCAGCCATGGGTTTGTCCGGATTTTCTGCACAGAATGGAACAGACTACAGGTACGGTAATGTTGCACGTCGTTTCACCGTGATGTTTTTTTTCAGAATTACATTAATGAACACCAGGTTCTTCTGGTGTGGGCAATGATCTTGTTTCTGTGTAAGCACTGTAGAATGTGCAAACAATGATCTTAGCATGTGTTAGTTAATCACTTAGCGTGAGGAGCCAATATCAGAAAAGTATAACAAAAATATCTTAATAATGGATTTTTACTTTTATGGAAATTACTGCAATACTTTCTTGCAGCAAAATGCAAATGTTAGAAACTTGCAATTAACTTGGAAACTCTTAACGATAAACTTAAGTGTCATTCCGATTTCTAATAAACAGTATGTTTATATATTGCACACACTACACATGTCCAGCCGATCATATATGGCTTATTTACTTTAATATACATGGACACTAACAAACTTGTGACGCATTCTAATGTGCAAGTACAAGCTTCTTTTTTTAAATACATGTTTTACAACATAGCATGACTGAGTATCAATGTGCACACTGCGAGTGGTATAACAGTCACAACTCAGAGATTTTTTTAACGGGACACATTCACGTGACCGTCACAAACTGCAATTGTGCTGAAGAAGTATTTGCTGTCTGTGTTTACTCTTAAAACGCTTGTCCAAATGCTAAATAGGAGACATTCCTATTTAGCCACGAAGCCTAAATATATGGTTGGGTCATACTTTTGTTAATGAGCACATATTAAGGCCAGCTTGGCACACGAGCAATTGGTGTGGCCATCAGAACACCTGGCTGCCTTTATTTTTCTCCCTCATGCTGATCTTTACACACAGCCCCAGGCACTTATTTAAGGCTGACTCAACCCAGCGGAGGCCCATGATGGCTTCAAAAGTCCGCCGCCACTGTTATTGTTCGTAGACGGGAATCAAACTCGGGTCACCAGGTCTGGAGCGCAGCGTGCTAACCACTGCCCCACCGCTCGCCACATGCATACACAAACACCTTCAGGCAGCCAAGTACTCATTCCCCAAGCTGCTATATGGAATCTTAAAATGAGGAGGCTCTGCATATGCACATTGCACAGTGGCGCAGCAGTTCACTGTTTTTGTTACATTTCTTTTGTGCGCTGGTGCTGGTTTTATCTCAGTTGGTGTTCGAACACGTCAGGGCAAATGTTGGTTCTGCCCGGTATGCAGGTAATGCAGGGGATGGAATTTTGCCTTGTGCGAGATCAAATGTGGCATGTGTTGCAACACGACCTCTCACTGCCACAGTGGCTTCATACTTATTTGAGATAATACATGGAGCAAATGTGTTAAAAGCGCGTACGAAACTAAAACTTTTAGAAACACCATAAATCATTTATTGTATTTTTTTGGTAAATTCACAACAGTCCTTAACATGGTCAACGATACATTTTGTCATTGACAATAACGTGTCTTCATTGATCATTAATAAGAGAACAATGTCAAGCCTAGCCAAAGCCTCCATGTGCGTTTAAGCAGAAGCAACAACAATAACCCCATAGCCTCTGCACCAATTATATTGTTTTAGAAGACGCTCAGCACATTCGTCAAGAACACTGACTTAAAATAGAAACATATAATGGGCACTGTATGGGACCTTTTTTTATTGCCAGAAAGGGTAAAACCTATTATTATTTGTTCATGATAGGCACCGTTTTAGGCAATGATTCAACTTAATAGCACTTTCTATTTACCTTTAAGGTCACAGTGTTGTTGACGAACGTGCTGAGCGTTTTGATAATTATCCTCGTGCACAACTGCCAATGCATCGTCACCAAATACAATTTGGTATCCGCTTTCACCAAGGTGTTGCGTGCGATTGTGAAACAAAAAAAATGAAGTTAAAGAAACCGCGAGCTGTTCGTCGTCACCTTAACTTCGCGAGAAGCAAGGCTGAACGTTGCACATTTGTCGCCCCCGCAGAAAAGCTAGGCCAAAGCCACACGAGACAGCCATGTCTGGTCTATCACACAAAGCAACGTTCACACATAAAGTGGTAACCCGGAGATCGAACTTAATTCGTTCTAGAATGCCATTCGAACACCGATTTGTTCGAGTTCTGGTGCGTTCGATCTCCGAGGTTTTAGAGTACTCGATATAGTGCTACGTGGTTCATGAAGTCAATGATGGAGATGATTTGCGTGCGTGCGTGCGCTTGTGCGTATCGGCACTTGTGGGGTGGTGCGGTAGTGTAGTGGTTAGCACACTGCGCTGCGAAGCCGGCTACCCGGGGTTCGATTCCCGCTCATGGACAACACCAGTGATTATTCTTTAATTAAATTTTTTATTTATTATTTTATTTTACCGAAAAAAACAAAGAATAATTCCTGCAGTCACGAAAGCTCCAAAATTAAGATTAACACCAGTGATGGTTGTCTTAACCGGTTCTGGGCCTCCCATAGGTGAACTCAGCCTCAAACGCGTACCTAGTGCGGTGTGTAAACATCGCCACTAGGGAGACAAAGGCGGCCGGGCATGGTGCTGTACCAGTCTTCATAGGTGCTCGCTAAAAACAGCACTTGCTCCTACAGTCTGTTAAGGCTACACGGTGGATCTTTGTTGTTTTCAACACTGAACGCAGGCTGGACATGCTGCAGAGAGTCGCCGGCAAGATACAGAAGGACGCCTTGGTCTGTGAAGATCGCCTCAATCAGTCCAGCAGCATGCTTCAAATGGTACATCACAAAATATTCGCTTCCACGTGTTACAAATTATCCTTGTAGCATGGCATTTTAACAAACTTTCAATTTAACACAACTTAACACAACGTAACATGGCTTTCTTTTATGGGCCGAGGTCAAAGGTTATAGGTGTTTACATAGGTCATTATAAATAATAACACCGTCTCCTTGATTATACTCACGATAATGAGCCCTTACTCAGCTCTGTACAATGCCGATTATTTCTCACATTTTCCTGCCGGAGTATCTTTTTAATTTGATAATGGCCACATTTGTAAACTTTGTTCATGCATGTGTTGTGACCGACATATTATGACTGATGCACTTATCCAATCATCGTCGTTATGTCAATTTTGTTGGAGATGTTCGTTGCTGTGAGATATTCACACGGATTGTTGCAAAATTCCGATTCGCACAGCGTCCTTTTATGTTTACATTTGTTTGCACTCGGCACCGCGGATGCCTCCAAGATCATCGCTCACACATTTCTGGGACATTACACGTGGGTGCGATTGCACGCGTGTGTACACACGTGCAGAGAAGGGAAGTGCGGCGGTTAGCGCTCTACGAACCCGACGGCCCGAATTCAATTCCCCGCTCAAGGCCAACCCCAGTGACGGTTATCTGAATCGGTCACGGGCTTCCCCAAGGTTGACTTAGTTTAAAAATGAGTCCCTGCTACAATGCGTAAACATTGCCAAAGGCGGGGCCCAGGTGGTACTGGCCACCCAAGTCCACCTGTGCCGTGTCGGTCTTCATGGGTGCTCGCGAACAGCACTTGTCCCAAGAGTTTGAGGCTATAGGAGGGGATATTCGTATTGTTTAGAGAGTGTCGGTGCAGTGATTAGCACATTGCGCTACAACCACAGTTAACTGCTTTCGATCACTGGCCACGAAAGTAGTTGGAATACGAGTCTGGACCTCCACTGGGTAAACTTGGCCTAAAACGAGTAAATGGGGTAGTGCATTCTAGATTTGAAGCTTTCGTGACCGCAATGATTCATACTCTTAGTTCTTTCGGTAAAGTCACGTAGGTAAAAAATGAAATTAAAATTAATAAAAAATAAAAAAAATAAAATCACGACGTTTCAGAGGCAACACAAGCTTCCGTCTTTAGGTGAAATTGTCACAGCAAAAAAAAATAATTTCATTTTTTACCTACGTGACTTTACCGAAAGAACTAACAGTATGGGGTAGTGCAGTCAACATCAACAGTGGGACAAAGTCCCCACGGTGTTGACTGCACCACCCTCTCCTGTGCCATGCCACCCTTAATGCGTTCGCTCACCAATGGTACTTCCTTAACGGCCTGTAAGGAATGCTCGTTTTTTTTGTCGTTGATTATGCAGTAAATGGTAATTGCTGTGGAGACCATTAAACTGCCTACAAATGGAAATACGGCAGTGATAGTTCACTTGTTTACCCTCGGGCTCAAATAGAGACTCAAAGAGTTACGACCCAAGTGTCCCCGGCACATCGGACTGAACTAAAGAGCCACCTTTGTTCGCGTGTTTTTTATGCAATCCCTGACTTTTGGCACTCGCACAAGGGCACATTTAGGAGTCAGCACATAGCACACTGGCACTAGCACACGATGCAGGCACAACAGTTGAACAAATCTGGCATTGTGCGATTACGTTCGCACAAATACTCGCGTAACAATTGTCGGATTCACGTTGTTGTTCCGAGTGATTTTGGGCTCACTTTCGCAGCGAAAGCTATTCGACACCGCAGATATGATCATCAGTGGCGGATATCTTAACACTTTCCCGTTTCGAGACGTCTGCAACTTGGAGGGTGGGGGGTCCCGTTCACTGCCGAATCTCGGAACGTGCAAGCGGTTAGCGTGAACTTTATTTAGATAGGCGTAGCGTGGCTGTTTTTAAAGACATTGTACTCCCCACAGAGAACTGTACCGACACGACCACACCCTACGATAGCTGGCGCCACACTGTGCCACGCGCCCTTCCGCATGGCCTTTTACTTCCGATTCCCTCCACAGAAAGGAATCGGAATAAATACTGACGCCGTACTCGTAGGTCGTCAAGTACTCGTACGTCATCAGAATAGGAAGGGTTAACAGGTCCTGAGTCTCACCATTGGTACCTCATTTGCCAGTAAAAAATATGATAATTGGTTTTTTACCCTTTAATCTGGCAACAAAACTAACACTTTTTTTATCAGAGTTATGTTTTTTGTTTGCATTATGACTGCAGGTATTATGGTCTATGTAAACATGACTCCTCGTAAAAAAGGTGTCAGTTTTGTTGCCAGATTAAAGGGTAAAAAAACAATTATCAGGTCCTGAGTCTCTTCCGTAAGTTGACACAACCTTTAATGGACATACTCTTTGGTTCTTTCGGTAAAGTCACGTAGATAGAAAATTTATAGATCACGACGTTTCGATCGCAACACAAGCAATCGTCATCAGGTGAAACAAACACAGCAGGAGAACTGCTGACGCAGGAGAAAGAGCTGCTGCAACAGCAGTCACGAAAGCTTCAAATCTTTAATTGACACTTGGGTGATAAGGGGCGTGATGCTGGCCACACCATCCCCTCGAGCGCCATTACCCACCTTAATATGTTTTCGTCAACAGCGCTTGCCCTCACAATCCATACAGCTACAAGGGGGGTGGTGGTGGTGGGGTGATCCGTGGTCTTTGTTACCGCACACCTTGTCCCGTGGCTTCTGCTGCCCTCGCTCGCTCGCTCACGCCATGCGCTCGCACTCTGCGCGCAGGACATTCGGGCGCTGGAGAACCACCGGGCTCCGCAGCACGAGGCCGACATCGAGCGGTCGCTCAACGAGTGCGACGCCATGATCCGCGAGCTCTTCATCGACGTGCAGACGCTCAAGGATGGCCGCTTCTTCCAGGCCGAGCTCATGTACCGAAGGTTCGCTTTACGCGCTCTCGCACACGATACGGGGGCTAGGGCGACGCGACGACTGGCGCTGTTGCTGCACGAAGAGGAAGTGACGTCGCCACCACGGCGCTTCGTACCAGGCTAGGCAAACGTTGAGGCCATGTCAAGTGCGCTCCCTACACATATCCACATTTCTCTCCACATTTAGAATCATGCGTTTGTAGTATTTGACTGCTAGAAATTTCCACGTGATAAGCCACTTCGTTGAGCTATCATTTATGGCCAGGTCTCTTCTGTCGCTTCTGAGCGTTAAAAGGCCTATATAGCTCATTGGACCTTACCTGGAAAAGTAATAAAAGTTTAATTTAAGTTTAGTTCATGATTGACAAAGGGCTGCAATTCTAACAATTCGGATAGGTGTACCATGCTTGGCGAATGCTGATGCCGATGCGCTGCCGTCCACAGAGTCTTCCAGCTGCACGAGCGCTTTGTGTCCATCCGCTCCGAGTACAAAACCACGGTGGGCGCTTCCAACATGAGCTCGGAGGTGATCAGCGTGAAGGTGCCGACGATCCAGGTGACCTCGCCCCGACCTCAGGACGACTCCAACATGAAATACGTGCGCGACCTGCTCGCGTGGGTGGAGGAGCACCAGGTGAGGTGGGACGAGGTGGACAGAGGCTGCCCACCTGGCACGATCACGTCACACACAAATGAACCGCAGTGCCACAACCGCACCACACAATACCCTGCGTCATTTTTCTTACCCTCTCATTCGTATTATTTCGAGTGTTTCACGTCCTGCTTGTACTATATTGTACTCTCCGTTCGCCCACATGCAATGCAAGATGAGTGTATAATTTGGCTAAACTGTTGTGAATTGTATAATTGGTGCAGGAATCCTGATACATTCTAGATTTGAAGCTTTCGTGACTGCAAGGATTCATATTCTTGGGTTTTTTCGGTAAAGTCACGTAGGTAAAAAAATAAAATAAAAATCACGACGTTCCGAAACGTCGTGATTTTTATTTTATTTTTATTTTAATCCTGATACATGCTTTATCTCGTTACATGGCCACCACCCAAGCAAATGATGAGCTCAGGCATTTAACACTTAATCTATTAAAATCGATGTCATATATCTGGCAGGTTGTCAGGGTTATGTGGTGGCGAGATGTTAACTACTTCGCCTGGTTATACAGGAGGTCATGGGTACATGGCTTCGATCCCAACTTTGATGCCTGGAGTTTGCATGTTCTCCCCGTGTCCGCTAGGATTTTTCTCCAGGTCCTCTGGTTTTTCTCTCCTCATTTAGAAACATGCTTGTGAAGTATTTGGCTGCTATACATTTCAACGCGATAAGCCACTTTATTGTGGCCAGGTCGATTCTGAAAAAGAGCTTTTTAGCTCAGTGGGCCTTACCTGGTAAAGTAAATAAAATAAATATTGTTTAGTTTGTGACTCACGTAGAAGTAAGAAAAATGCCGAGCATAACAGAAGACTTGATGCAAGTGGTAATGAGAAGGAAACTGGGCTTATTTGGTCAGGGAACTGTAAGAAAAGCAAGATCCTGTAGATAATGGCTGGATGACATAAGATATTGCTGCCAGGTCGAGACCTGGCAGCCCACCAATTAAAGAGCTGCTAGGTCTAGACCTTGCAGCCCTTTAATTGATGGAAGCCCACCACCAGGACCATCACTGCCCACTACTACCATCACCACAGGCACCACGTTCCGTTTGCGTGGGAGGCGTCACCCACCACCATCGCCGTCGTTGCCCACCAATACCACCACTCGCATTAACAGCTGCCCCGCCCATGCTGCTACACCTGAGCTACGCCCATGTTAAACCTTTATTAACAGTTTGCCTTTAGACGCTAACCCCCTTTTCCTGATGACGGCCACTTGTGTTGCGATCGTAATGTCGTGGTTTAAATTAAAGTTTTTTTTTTATTTTTTATTTGTATTTTCTATCTACGTGACTTTACCGAAAGTTCCAAAGAATATGAATTCCTGCAGTCACGGAAGTTTTAAGTCAAAATATAGCCTCAGTATGTTGGCACAGGATAGAGGGAAGTGGAAGCAAGTGACAAAAATGCAGTGGGCACCTACGGGTTTCTGCCCATGGAGTTTGATCGATTGATTGATAGTTTAGTTCCTGATACACTTTTCAAGGCTCTGGAAGAGCTTCTCCAAACCATAAAGTAACCGTCGTAATGAAGATCATCCGTTTTTTTCATCTGAACTAAAGAGGTGTGCTCTGTTCGTTCGCGTCGCAGGCTCAGATTGAAAAGGCCGAGTGGGGCACTGACCTGCCCAGTGTGGAGGGCAACCTTGAGAAACATCGCGAATTCAACCGCACCATTGAAGACTTCCGCTCCAGCATCAACGAAGCAAAGGCCGGCGAGGTAACTGCCTCCCCGGCGGCGCTCACTCACTCGTTGTCTTTGCAAAAAAGTTGCGTCGTCCGTTATCTCATTCATTGTCACGAATGAACCACGATACCCAGCTGAACTCGTTCCGGAGCATTAACCATCACGCAAAGCCCGGTCATCCTCGCAGCAGCGGATTTTTGCTAGTCGTTGAACAAACACGGTCACTGGGCAAGTTTTCAGATACACTTCTGCGGTCATCTGGAACGCTCTTCTTTCTGATATTAGGAAGCCTCTGGAGTTATGCACTTTTAAATCCAGATAAAAAACTCATTTTTTTAAAAGTACTTTTTTGTGTTTAGTTTGTCATCCTTCCCCCGCACCTCCGATTAGCACGGTTAGCTATGTACGGTACAAAAGAAGTTCAATATAAATACAATTGTATTATTCATTAATGAATTAATATTTTGATTGCATGACAATTCAAACATATACATTTAATTATTTTTTAGATCATGTATGCCACGTGATTAGCATAATTCATGTGCAATTCCAACGATGTGCATTTTGTGTAATGCGGTTCACAGCTATCCTTTGTCTATAAAGTACAGGGCGGTGACGCGACCTGGAGGTAGCGCATTCGCCGCCACTTGTAGCAGAGGTGCACAGTTGGAATCCGGCGGCCGCCCTGGTTAATACTGCGGGTGTATTACCCAAATAATAACGCGTGTCGTCTACTTCATGGTGGGAAGTTAAAGATCCCGTGACGTCATTAACAAGAGTAGGCCGCTGTGTGCCGGCGTCATGGTTCCAAATTTGCCGTTTGACAACTGCTTGGCAAAATTACTCAAATGGGAACTGTATATAGACACTGTCGCCCCCCCCCACCCCAACTTACGAAACCTTGGCAGGACCCTCTTGAAAAAGAGTCATGATACTTGGTGAGGCTTTCCGGGGTAAGAAAACGTAGTGAATAATAATAAGTGTAGCCATCTGTTTAATTTGTAACTGTTTTCCTTTTGCAGTCCAAGATATCACCAGCAAACAGAGGGAATTATGCCGATTACTTCGGAAGACTGGAACTGCAGTATACTCGCTTGCTGGTGACTATGAATACACCTCATCACACTGAACGAATCCCACTGCTCTGTGCAGTTCAACGGGTACTTGCCTACATTTATGCAGCAATTAAAATCAACGCTTTTTTTTGCTGATTTACACAAACAATATTTTGACAGTGTGTGCACATAGAGACAATAATATCCGTGTCCAGAAAAAGAAGCACAGTCTGTTCACCTACAACGCGTGGTTTTCATAACGCGAATTGGATATAACGTGATCGAGTGAACAGAACTACGTCGCGTGAGTAGGAGTAAGCGGGGATACGGCTGCCTCGGCGTAGCATCGCACAACAAGGCACTGGGATGCTGCTGGATGCTTCTAGATGCTATCCACGTGCCTCGGTCTTTGTTCAGCCTGCTGACACTTTTCACGTGTTATCGCGGACTGTGCTTTACCCTATATTATAATCATTTATTACAACGCGATTTTTCCATAACGTGGTGTTCTTCAGGAACGCATCTACTGCCGCGTTATAGGAGACATACCTGTCAACCCATACGGTATATCTGTATTCTTGTACAGGGAAATTGGGATTTCAGGTCCATCCGGCGTACAGCCGTTTAAAAAAAAAAAGTATTTGTTTGTTTCTTCCTTGTGATGGGATTTTGTAGGATTTATAAGGGCAGTTTGTAACCCAAGTTGTCAATAGCCATGAGGGCACAGCATACCGAGCGTGCAGAACATGTCGCGGAGAACGTGCAAACTACAAATACACAGCAGGCGTCAGGGCGGGGATCGAACCCACGACCTCTTGCGTACCAGGCGAGGGAAGTTGACATCTCACAGCCACCGAGATTCTCACGTCCGTGTGTCCGGAGCGAACTGAGCGTTTTGCTCGCCGCCCGTCCAGAACATGTCGAGGAGCCGCCTGCGTCACCTGGAGAGCCTCCACGCCTTCGTGGTCCGCGCCACCAAGGAGCTCATGTGGCTCAACGACCGCGAGGAGGAGGAGGTGAACTACGACTGGAGCGAGCGCAACCCCAACATGAGCGTCAAGAAGGAGCAGCACGCCGTGAGTACACCGGCAGTCCCGCTCGATTTGCGGTAGGCCACGGGGGTGTAACGGTGACCCGCGGCTCCGGAGCCTCTTCGAGGGACCGCTTCGTGACGTCACTCGCGAAGGGCCGCCGTCTCATCGTCGTCGCGTGCACTGCGGCTCTTGAAATATCGCGTTGTTTTTGTTACCGAATTCGAACAAAAAAATTGGCCTTTCCTGTTACTCTGGTTGCTGACCCCCCCCACCTCCACCCCGGTGTAGGGGATAAGCCACCGCTTGTTGTTTGCTGTGTGTGGCTGCGAGACGAGGCAGGAGGCCCGGTAACGCAAGTCTCTCCCCACCCTCCCCAACCTCCCCACCCCCGACTATGCAGGTGCTCATGAAGGAGCTGGAGCAGAAGGAGTCGATCATAAACGGCATTCAGGACAGCGGGGAGCAGCTTCTGGCCAGCAACCACCCAGCTCGTCAGACCATTGAGGTGAGGGTGTTGCGGGCCGGCAGTCTAGTGCAGCGTCAAGTAGCCGGTGGGCTGCACGTATGCGTTGTTATTGTTGTGTTACGTGTCAAAGTGAGCGAATCAACTCACAGCTGCAGCCCGGGCGTGGTGATGCACACCTGTAACCCACTCCTTTGGGAGAAAAGAGATACCGTGGGGGGGAAATGTTAACTACCTCTCCTGGTATACATGAGGTCGTGGGTTTGATCCTGATCTTGACCCGTGATCACGTGGATTTTTCTACGGGTTCTCTAGTATTTCTCTCCACATTTAGAATCAACGTGCGTTTGGAGTATTTGGCTACTATAAATTTCCACTTGATGAGCCACTTCGTTGAGCTATCACTTGTGGCCCGGTCGCTTAAGAAAAAGAGCTACATAGCTCAGTGGGCCCCACCGACCACCGTACAACAATAACTTTTTTAAAGAAGTATCTGGAACAATTCCGCCAAACGCTTGCCACGGCCTTGCGGATCATCAGTGGCCCGTCGACAACACGGTTGGAGACTCTTGCAAAAGCCGCAAGGGTGAATCATTTAAAAGCGCCAAACGTACGAAGCGCAGCTGTGCACAGCTCCGTATGTATTTACCCATTAACGTCGCTCGCTCGCTGTCTTCCGCAGTCCTACCTGGCTGCCATGCAGACCCAGTGGAACTGGATCCTGCAGATCTGCTGCTGCATCGAGACACACATCAAGGAGAACACGGCCTACTTCCAGGTGCAGTGGCCCAGCCCACAGTGTCCCAGCCCACGGTGGCCCAGCCCACGGTGACCCAGCTTGGCCCAGCCCACAGTCGCCCAGCCCACAGTGACCCAGCCCACAGTGGCCCAGCCCAAAGTGACCCAGCCCACGGTGGCCCAGCCCACGGTGGCCCAGCTTGACCCAGCCCACAGTGACCCAGCCCACAGTGTCCCAGCTCACAGTGTCCCAGCCCACAGTGACCCAGCTCACGGTGACCCAGCCCACAGTGTCCCAGCCCACAGTGACCCAGCCCACAGTGACCCAGCTCACAGTAACCCAGCCCACAGTGACCCAGCCCACAGTGTCCCAGCTCACAGTGTCCCAGCCCACAGTGTCCCAGCTCACAGTGTCCCAGCTCACAGTGTCCCAGCTCACAGTGTCCCAGCCCACAGTGACCCAGCCCACAGTGTCCCAGCTCACAGTGTCCCAGCCCACAGTGACCCAGCTCACAGTAACCCAGCCCACAGTGTCCCAGCTCACAGTGACCCAGCCCACAGTAACCCAGCCCACAGTGTCCCAGCCCACAGTGACCCAGCTCACAGTAACCCAGCCCACAGTGTCCCAGCCCACAGTGACCCAGCCCACAGTAACCCAGCCCACAGTGTCCCAGCTCACAGTGTCCCAGCTCACAGTGTCCCAGCCCACAGTGACCCAGCTCACAGTAACCCAGCCCACAGTGTCCCAGCTCACAGTGTCCCAGCCCACAGTGTCCCAGCCCACAGTAACCCAGCCCACAGTGTCCCAGCTCACAGTGTCCCAGCTCACAGTAACCCAGCCCACAGTGTCCCAGCCCACAGTGACCCAGCTCACAGTAACCCAGCCCACAGTGTCCCAGCCCACAGTGACCCAGCTCACAGTGTCCCAGCTCACAGTGTCCCAGCCCACAGTGACCCAGCTCACAGTGTCCCAGCTCACAGTGTCCCAGCTCACAGTGTCCCAGCTCACAGTGTCCCAGCTCACAGTGTCCCAGCTCACAGTGTCCCAGCCCACAGTGACCCAGCCCACAGTGTCCCAGCCCACAGTAACCCAGCCCACAGTGTCCCAGCCCACAGTGACCCAGCTCACAGTGTCCCAGCCCACAGTGTCCCAGCTCACAGTGTCCCAGCTCACAGTGTCCCAGCCCACAGTGACCCAGCCCACAGTGTCCCAGCCCACAGTAACCCAGCCCACAGTGTCCCAGCCCACAGTAACCCAGCCCACAGTGTCCCAGCTCACAGTAACCCAGCTCACAGTGTCCCAGATCACAGTGTCCCAGCTCACAGTGTCCCAGCCCACAGTGTCCCAGCTCACAGTAACCCAGCTCACAGTAACCCAGCCCACAGTGTCCCAGCCCACAGTGACCCAGCCCACAGTAACCCAGCCCACAGTGTCCCAGCTCACAGTGTCCCAGCTCACAGTGTCCCAGCCCACAGTGTCCCAGCCCACAGTGACCCAGCCCACAGTGTCCCAGCTCACAGTGTCCCAGCCCACAGTGTCCCAGCCCACAGTAACCCAGCCCACAGTGTCCCAGCTCACAGTGTCCCAGCTCACAGTAACCCAGCCCACAGTGTCCCAGCCCACAGTGACCCAGCTCACAGTAACCCAGCCCACAGTGTCCCAGCCCACAGTGACCCAGCTCACAGTGTCCCAGCTCACAGTGTCCCAGCCCACAGTGACCCAGGCTCACAGTGTCCCAGCTCACAGTGTCCCAGCTCACAGTGTCCCAGCTCACAGTGTCCCAGCTCACAGTGTCCCAGCTCACAGTGTCCCAGCCCACAGTGACCCAGCCCACAGTGTCCCAGCCCACAGTAACCCAGCCCACAGTGTCCCAGCCCACAGTGACCCAGCTCACAGTGTCCCAGCCCACAGTGTCCCAGCTCACAGTGTCCCAGCTCACAGTGTCCCAGCCCACAGTGACCCAGCCCACAGTGTCCCAGCCCACAGTAACCCAGCCCACAGTGTCCCAGCCCACAGTAACCCAGCCCACAGTGTCCCAGCTCACAGTAACCCAGCTCACAGTGTCCCAGATCACAGTGTCCCAGCTCACAGTGTCCCAGCCCACAGTGTCCCAGCTCACAGTAACCCAGCTCACAGTAACCCAGCCCACAGTGTCCCAGCCCACAGTGACCCAGCCCACAGTAACCCAGCCCACAGTGTCCCAGCTCACAGTGTCCCAGCTCACAGTGTCCCAGCCCACAGTGTCCCAGCCCACAGTGACCCAGCTCACAGTAACCCAGCCCACAGTGTCCCAGCCCACAGTGACCCAGCTCACAGTGTCCCAGCTCACAGTGTCCCAGCCCACAGTGACCCAGCTCACAGTGTCCCAGCTCACAGTGTCCCAGCTCACAGTGTCCCAGCTCACAGTGTCCCAGCTCACAGTGACCCAGCCCACAGTGTCCCAGCCCACAGTAACCCAGCCCACAGTGTCCCAGCCCACAGTGACCCAGCTCACAGTGTCCCAGCTCACAGTGTCCCAGCCCACAGTGTCCCAGCTCACAGTGTCCCAGCTCACAGTGTCCCAGCTCACAGTGTCCCAGCTCACAGTGTCCCAGCTCACAGTGACCCAGCCCACAGTGTCCCAGCTCACAGTGTCCCAGCTCACAGTGTCCCAGCTCACAGTGTCCCAGCTCACAGTGTCCCAGCCCACAGTGACCCAGCCCACAGTGTCCCAGCCCACAGTAACCCAGCCCACAGTGTCCCAGCCCACAGTGACCCAGCTCACAGTGTCCCAGCTCACAGTGTCCCAGCCCACAGTGTCCCAGCTCACAGTGTCCCAGCTCTCAGTGTCCCAGCTCACAGTGTCCCAGCTCACAGTGTCCCAGCCCACAGTGTCCCAGCTCACAGTGTCCCAGCCCACAGTGACCCAGCTCACAGTGTCCCAGCTCACAGTGTCCCAGCTCACAGTGTCCCAGCCCACAGTGTCCCAGCCCACAGTGACCCAGCTCACAGTGTCCCAGCTCACAGTGTCCCAGCTCACAGTGTCCCAGCCCACAGTGACCCAGCTCACAGTGACCCAGCTCACAGTGTCCCAGCTCACAGTGACCCAGCTCACAGTGTCCCAGCCCACAGTGTCCCAGCCCACAGTGACCCAGCTCACAGTGACCCAGCTCACAGTGTCCCAGCTCACAGTGACCCAGCTCACAGTGACCCAGCCCACAGTGTCCCAGCCCACAGTGACCCAGCCCACAGTGTCCCAGCTCACAGTGTCCCAGCCCACAGTGTCCCAGCTCACAGTAACCCAGCCCACAGTGTCCCAGCCCACAGTGTCCCAGCCCACAGTGTCCCAGCCCACAGTGTCCCAGCCCACAGTGACCCAGCTCACAGTGTCCCAGCTCACAGTAACCCAGCCCACAGTGTCCCAGCCCACAGTGTCCCAGCTCACAGTAACCCAGCCCACAGTGTCCCAGCCCACAGTGACCCAGCTCACAGTGTCCCAGCTCACAGTAACCCAGCCCACAGTGTCCCAGCCCACAGTGTCCCAGCCCACAGTGTCCCAGCTCACAGTGTCCCAGCCCACAGTGACCCAGCTCACAGTGTCCCAGCTCACAGTGTCCCAGCCCACAGTGTCCCAGCTCACAGTAACCCAGCCCACAGTGTCCCAGCCCACAGTGTCCCAGCTCACAGTGTCCCAGCTCACAGTGTCCCAGCCCACAGTGACCCAGCCCACAGTGTCCCAGCCCACAGTAACCCAGCCCACAGTGTCCCAGCCCACAGTGTCCCAGCTCACAGTGTCCCAGCCCACAGTGTCCCAGCTCACAGTGTCCCAGCCCACAGTGTCCCAGCCCACAGTGACCCAGCTCACAGTAACCCAGCCCACAGTGTCCCAGCCCACAGTGTCCCAGCTCACAGTAACCCAGCCCACAGTGTCCCAGCCCACAGTGACCCAGCTCACAGTGACCCAGCCCACAGTGTCCCAGCTCACAGTGACCCAGCCCACAGTGTCCCAGCCCACAGTGTCCCAGCCCACAGTGTCCCAGCTCACAGTGTCCCAGCCCACAGTGTCCCAGCTCACAGTGACCCAGCCCACAGTGTCCCAGCTCACAGTGACCCAGCCCACAGTGTCCCAGCCCACAGTGTCCCAGCCCACAGTGTCCCAGCTCACAGTGTCCCAGCCCACAGTGTCCCAGCCCACAGTGACCCAGCTCACAGTGTCCCAGCTCACAGTGTCCCAGCCCACAGTGTCCCAGCCCACAGTGACCCAGCTCACAGTGTCCCAGCCCACAGTGTCCCAGCCCACAGTGACCCAGCTCACAGTGTCCCAGCTCACAGTGTCCCAGCCCACAGTGACCCAGCTCACAGTGTCCCAGCCCACAGTGTCCCAGCTCACAGTAACCCAGCCCACAGTGTCCCAGCCCACAGTGACCCAGCCCACAGTGACCCAGCTCACAGTAACCCAGCCCACAGTGTCCCAGCCCACAGTGTCCCAGCCCACAGTGACCCAGCTCACAGTGTCCCAGCTCACAGTGTCCCAGCCCACAGTGTCCCAGCCCACAGTGACCCAGCCCACAGTGTCCCAGCCCACAGTGACCCAGCTCACAGTAACCCAGCCCACAGTGTCCCAGCCCACAGTGTCCCAGCTCACAGTAACCCAGCCCACAGTGTCCCAGCCCACAGTGTCCCAGCTCACAGTAACCCAGCCCACAGTGTCCCAGCCCACAGTGACCCAGCTCACAGTGTCCCAGCTCACAGTGTCCCAGCTCACAGTGACCCAGCCCACAGTGATCCAGCCCACAGTGACCCAGCTCACAGTGACCCAGCCCACAGTGTCCCAGCCCACAGTGACCCAGCTCACAGTGACCCAGCTCACAGTGTCCCAGCTCACAGTGTCCCAGCTCACAGTGTCCCAGCTCACAGTGTCCCAGCTCACAGTGTCCCAGCTCACAGTGTCCCAGCCCACAGTGACCCAGCCCACAGTGTCCCAGCCCACAGTAACCCAGCCCACAGTGTCCCAGCCCACAGTGTCCCAGCTCACAGTAACCCAGCTCACAGTAACCCAG